GTGGGTTTGTGTATAGTCGCCACAGCTATAATGAAGAGGAGATCGGAGTGTTCGGTTTGTGGTGGTTCGGCGATCTGAAGTTTTCGTCGGTTCAGTGATCTGTACCACGGTTCATTGCTGGTCAAATCTGCCTGTGGTGGTTTTCATGTCATCGATGGTGATTAGGTGCTGCGGTAGTGAGATGCCGGTGATGGTAGTGAATCTGCTTGGGACGTGGTAGTAGTGGTCGACTGTGACAGTGGCAGTGGAGGTTGACTGTGGTGATGGTGACTGTGGTGGTAGTGTTGTGGTGCTGGCGACGGGCGCAAAGTGAGGGTGGTGGCAAGTGGCGGTAGTATGTGACCCAATATTTGGTGCATACCACCAATTATTTGTTTATCTGTGACCAAATATTAATCTGTGACCTTAAAATTCGGTAATCTGTGACGAAAAAAATCTGTGACCAACCATTTTATTATATGTGACCTAAAAATTATATAATATGTGACCGCGAAAAAATCTATGACGTGTGACCTATAAATTTTGATTTGTGATTAACTAATTTTGAAATCTGTGACCAAAAAACTAATTGTGACATACAAAATTTTTGAGCTGTGACCGTAAGTTGTTTAAAAAAAAAAAGCTGTGACCAACAAATTTGAAAATATGTGCTTGTGTGACCTATAAATTTTGATCTGTGACCAACAAATTAATTGTGACCTACAAAAAATTAGAGCTGTGACCGTAAGTTGTAAATCTGTAACCGGAATGGTCGCTGGAAAAATTGTCGGAATCGGAACAATCGTCGGAACGGTCGCCGGAGAAGAATGGTGGTCGGAATGGTCGCTGGAATAGTCCTCGAAGCAGTATGAGTGGTGTATGTGGGGTGGGGTAATTATATTATATTATATTATGATTAAATATTTAATAATAAATTGATTTAATAATTTATTATTTCATAAATATAAATTAAAAAAAACCTGATTTTTGAATTTTCAAACTATAAACCTGGTTTTTGGATTGGGGTAAAGTATACACCTTATTTATGATTTTTGCCCTACTAATATATATTGGTTAATCTTTTGCAGATACAGAAGTGAATGAAATAGAAAGAGTTAACATCTACGTCCACTTAGATGAACCAATATGTCAAGCGAGGTAGAGATTGTTGGACCTCAGGCGCTTAACAATTGGACCACATAAATATTGAAGCCCAATAATTGTGACTCAACATGGTTGACACGGTTGCATTATTTACTTGTTGCATCGTGTTTTTAAAATGCAACTTTAGTTCTGTTTTGGAAATGGCTGAGATGATGACAAGTTATTACATGGTGAAGGTTGATCATTAGGATAATTCTTTCTTTTACATTTGAAAGATAACTTTGGGGTTTGAGCTGTTTATCTCTCTGATTTTCGTCATTTGCTCTTCTCTAATTTTCTTTTTTCTGTGTCAGGGTGATGTAAATAGAGTGTGTGAGAGCTTATAAACTGTTCTTAGTAAGCAAAAACATCTGGTTACTATGTGTAATTTTTGGGTGGCGAGAGATTGAGAGAGAAAAATGTTTCCAAGGGCTTCTTGGTTTTGATACTTGGTGTATTATGTGGTAATCTTGAACATTCTGGATTCTGGTTATGCTAGTGGATTTAGATCATTAATCACGTATGTATGCACAACATGGTGAGTAGGCCTTATGACGGAACATCCGGGCACGTGATGAGAAATCTTGGTGTTCTTGTTTTTACTTTGTTATATTTCGAGTTTGTGGTCATCATCAAATCGAAGCGGGAATAACAAACTCTCCTAATCTGGCAGGGCAAGATTTCATTCTGTGAGCAAGAGAAATGGTTCAGCGGTGATGACAAGCTTCCGTTTCCCGGGAAACAAGTTTCGGCACTGCAAGTCCAGAGTGAAAACCAGAAAGTCTTACAGGACTATCTCTTTCCAGAGCATATGGAGTTGTACGAGGAGCAGCAGCAGTAAGTTGAGAAAGGAAAATGAACAACCTGTTGCACTATTGCAGCAGTATCATGGACAATCTCTTTGGGAAGGTCATTTCTTTGTGTGAGATGATTAATGGAGCATAGATGGTAAGGTGAAGTCTGCCTCTTTAAAATTTTATGTTTCAAGTTATATTTTCTTCCTTTTATTCAAGGAGGAATTGCCTTGGTATAAATTTCTGGTGCCATACCATTTAGTCATTCAACTAATTTTTGCTGTGTGAACATGTTTGAAAGGATCTATCTGTTATCCTATATATAATATCTTCATCGCATGTTTATTTGCTCTTCATTGATTATTGTGATTATCTGCTCCTACTTAGATGTTCTTGGCCTTAGCCCTGGTGAGTATATGGAGTATGTATGGTATGTGTTTTGGGTTCGAAATACGAGGTAAGGTCCGTGATACCAATTTTTTTAACACCCTGATTGTGCAAGTATAAACTGTATGTTTTGATTGCTTGCAGATTGATTGAGTATCAAGGTGAAGATTTGTTAGGTTTTTGATACCCAATAAATTCGGGCGATGATGTTAAACCGTTTTTGTTTAGATTATATTTTATAGGCATCGGCTGATGAGTGAAGTGAAATATAGACACCACAATTGTTCATACCGATCCTACAACATTTGAAGCAGCCGAATTTATTGGTGATGCTCATCGTCTGAGCCATTATCTTGCAAGTCTTTTAAGTTGATTGCCCACTTATATACTACCTATTGGGTCTCTATCATTCCTTAACCTTAAAGCCCACACCCTTACCTTTATATATGCTTTCCCATTACCGTTGATGTGTGTGTGAAAGTGTGGTAGCCATGTGTTTGAGAGAAAGGCAGCGTCACTTTTGGCTTTGTGCTTCCCGGTCTTGCTTCGTGCTTGACTGTGCCTTGTTTTCTCCTTCTTCTCTAGCCTGCGTTGCTGATCCTTGAGGGTACTATATTCTGCACACCCTGCCCTTTGTGGGCAACTCGAGAAGCAGCTAGTTGGGGGTGTTTTGGTTTTCAATTGTGGTGTCGATTGGTGCAAACTGAGCCTAGAAATAGAGAGATTGGAGTTCATTATTCTACAAAACTCTTTTATAAAAAGCAAAAATCATGCTAAACGAATTCTTAGACAAGTATTCGTAGTCCATGTCTGATACATTGGTACATTACATTTTGTATTCAGGATTTGGAATATTTTCTAATGAAGCAACTAATAGTATAATCTTCTTTGCTAATGCCTCTCTAGCCCGATTTACATTCTGCTCTTATTTATGAATTCTAACTGGCCCTCTCTTTGAGTTTTTATCCATTTTTCCATAAAGTTTTAACTTGTAATATACAAAAAAATAAAAATAAATAAATAATAAAATTGCACTAATGGGATGGTGTGTGGTGGTTTTTTTCCTCGCAAATGAAAAAAAAGGAGCTTGAACAATGAAATTTGTGAACTTCGTTTTGCGTAGGCATTCAAGAAAGATAGGGAGTGCATATTTAGCCCTTACTATTATTGAGAGCTCTGTGGTCTGGTTTATGACTCAATTACACTGCACCTGAAATTGGATATATTTTTTTTATTTTTAGTTTATTTTTCTTCCATAATCTTCTCCAGGCTGGCTGGTTGGCATGAAATTTAAGTTAATTTTTAACTCTTAAGTCTGTAATTAGGAGAAGTGCTAGTCGTACAACTTTTTCGGTCCCTTGAAGAGTTTTACGGACGTGTCTTTAAGAATGCTAAATATTCAGTTTCGATGACAATTTATAAGTTGGCCTTTGTAATTGATGATTTTTGCTGGATTTCTTTTTATTTTTTGAAGACGCTTAGATGTTGACATTGGAGTTCTACTACAATACCTACAACAGTATAAATCATGTAGTTATTCTCAAAGAATTGACATTTGAGGCATTAAATTGGTTTATGGCATGGATGTTGTCGGTCTGCCTACTACAGTCCTATTTTGCCTACGGAATGTAGTGGCTCGCAGGGCCAACCCTTGCATGTTCATTTTTTCCCCAGAAACAAGAGAAAAATGAAAGAAAGAAAAAGCGATGCATGTAGTGATAGCAATGGGCCGAACTAGCTGGGCCCATTTACCTATGAGCTCAGCTCAGCTCATGTTCATGCTCATGCTCAAGCTCAGCCCATGAGCACAATTTTATTTTATTTTTTAAGTGACTACACGATCAAATTTAAAAAAAAAAAAATTACGAGCCCACGACCTTGGGCTTGGACTCATCTCGAAACAAGCCCACACCCATGGATGTCTCGACAAGCTACCCAGCCTTTTTGCCACCTCTAGATACATACATATGCAAGAAACAATGCACCATAGGTTCAATCCATAATGGTCAAAAGTTGACCCACATAGAATCTGCCAGTACAAACTTGGCAAAGTAGGATTTACACCTCTAATGGACATTCCTCGTTGTGTTCAATATTCTGTAACATATATAATGTTGGGGGTACTCACAAAAATACCTTTAAAATTAGAGATATTTTGAAAAATCATATAAAAGATTTTTAGGAAGTAAAAAATATTGTTTATTTGCAAAAATACTTTTAAAATTATGGATGTCTTGATAAATTCTATAAACTGTTTTTAGGAAGTAAAAAATATTGTGTAAAATGAAAAATGACACACACACACTCTCTCTCTCTCTCTCTCTCTCAAAAAGTGTTACAAACTCAAAAAAGTGACACTTAAAAAAAGTAACAAATATCAAAATAGCACCATTCATTTGTGCAGCACCAGTAATCATGTTCTTAAAATAATCAGCACGTCCAGGACAATTCACATGCTGATTATATTATGAAAATATAACATATTATTTCATTTTTTTATCTTCTTAAAAAGTGACAAAAATTTAAATGGTGACAAAATTTTAAAAAGTGACACAATGTCACTTTTATAAAATTGACGATGATAGTTCTTGACAAGTGATTAGCAATAACGGTCTGCCAAAGCGAGGTAGTCATTGTACAAGTCTTGAAGTAATGCAAGCAGTTGATGCCTTTTCTGATAGTAGGCTTGGCCTTATCTCACAAAACGACGTATTTACTTTCCTTTTCAGGACCTGTGAAGAACAAGAATGAAATATAATGAACAAAACTTAGCCAATGGAAGGACAAAAAAAAATCCACTACATCAATGAACTTATGATTTACCAGAATTTAATTTATGAAGAGCCCTGCTTATCTTGACAGATGTAGAATTAATCCCACCATAGAGACCTTGATCAGAAGAAATTGTAACAATAACATTCTTCTTGACATCAACACCTAAAACGTCAAAACACGAGGAAACGAAAGTACCAGAAAAAGTAATTGCTATCACTGAAGATGAAAAGTTATATTGAACTGGAAGCATGCAGTAAGTTCATGAATAAATAATTAGTGTACGTTTATAAAAACCGTAGTCGAGAATGATAATCTTGGCTTTATTTGTATAATTTTTGAAATTTGAATTCTAACTAGAACGCCTTTTTTTTCAAATAATTAACGTTCATTTACAAGAATGGACCCGTAGCACATGTCCTGGGTATCAAACAGCAGTGACAGAAATTGGCTCCATTTGACAATAAAATCAACTTAATTCATTTGAAGCAATTAATCAAACACTTGATATGCACAGTAATTGAAATGAGTAAAATTTTCTCATGATTCTATGATAAATTCAAATATTCCGCAACCAATCCACAAAATCAACTACGCCCATACTCCCAACAAAACTTCAAAAATTCCAACCATGAGCAAGAATTTAAGACAAAGAAGAAAAATTTAGAAACCCATAAAGTTGAGCCAATTTACCTTTAATTTCTTGAAATTTTTATGGGTGGAAGTGTGAATTCGTGGATGAATGAAGTTGGAATATAATTAATCTTCAAAACACACAGAAATTTGGAGAAAAAGGGGATGATGTTGATGAAAATTTTGAATATTGATTTGGGGGAGGATACAATGTGGTCCCGGGTACGCTTTTGAGGAGGGAGGAAATGAGGTTTGGGCTTTGGTTTTAACAATTTGACGTAATTAATATTTCATTAAAATGTTTAATTAGAGTTTAAGGGTATTAAACAAAACATCTATAAAAAAAAAGGGTACTAAGCCTAATATTCCCTATAATGTTTAGGAATAAATTCCACATCGAATAATATATAAGTGTATGGGCTACTTGTCTTAATAAGGTTGACATTTAAGATGAAACATCAAGTATTAATATGATATCAAAGCCCATTAACCTTCAACAAGCAATTTAACCGATTAAGATTCAAAAAATGAGCACATGGATTTCAAGATTGATTTGCTCAAATGAGTCGCGATCTTAAGGGGTATGTTAAGGGATAAATTTCATATCGAATAACGATAAAAATATAGACTAACATATAAGGGCAGGGCCTAGACTACTCGTTTAAATAAGATTGACCTTTTAAAATGGAACCTTAAGTCCAATTTACTTTGAAGAACTTGATCCAACTGAAGGTACAATGTTGAGAAATTGAACTTATCAAAAGATTAGTGTATATATCATTTGAAAATACAAGTATGTGGCCAAGGACGAAGCTAGCACCCTACGAACCAAGGTGAATGCTCGTACTGGCTCCGTCGAGAAAAAAATGAGTACATATATCAACCATCGAGCAGCCTTGTGCTCGCCTAGTGCAGGCAAGTTGTAAAGTCCCAAAAAAAAATAGAGTATAATTAATTATTCTATATACTATATATTTTATATTTTGGAAAAATTGGGAGAGTAAAATGATATATTTATTAAATTCAATTTTATTTGGGTCAAATATTTAAATATTGATAAAATAATGATAAATATATCGATATTGGGTTCATTGGATAGCTCATAATTAATTATGTATAATAGGCTCTAGAAAAAGTCGGTTCGAATAAGTCAGCTCCAAGATATTTCAGTTTGATGAAGTGGATGAAAAACTAGTTTTGCAATCTAATTGAAACCTTGAATGAAAATGTACTTTGCCACGTGTAATGTGTACGGAGTGTTTTATTTTTTATTTTAAAATGTATGAGTTAGTAGACATGTGTAGGTTAAATGGTAGATAATGTAGTTTTTGTTTTAAAATGATTTATTTGCTTTGATTTGGGATGTGATAGAGATGACTTGTTGATTACATAGGGAAGAATTAATTGTTGATTATATAGAATATTGTGATTGAGACTTTTATTTGAGCAAAACACGGAAATTGGCAATTTTAACTACTACAAGAATTCATTTTTCCCTTTCAACTCTAAATATTAAACAAAAGTTCTTACTATTTACCCTAACAATAAAATAAAAAATAGATAAACATATCAAGTGGTAGCAACACAGGTAGAAAATAAAGTTTGGGACGTGATTTTGGATTCTGTTTTTCAAAAACTGTTTCACCTAGCAATGTAAGATTATGAGGTGCAGGTGATTTATCCCATTTAGTTTATTTTTCTTGTTGATAAATATTATGCTAATAAAAGTTACGATATGATATGTTATGTTATGATATGTAATGGCAATCCGATACAAAAGATATGATATATTTAATCTCTTATTGATTTCTAAAGATATGATATGACGGTATGATATTTTTGATACATGATTTAATATTTTTATTCGGGATTACTCTATTAATTCGTGTCATATTGAGTGTTCACATATACTCACCCATTTTCCCCTTACCTCACAGGTTAGAACAGGTCGTTAGTTGACAGACGATGAAGTGCAGTCGTGGAGCCAGGATTTATGGAACTCAATAAAAACATGTGTTTTCGATGTGGTAAGTCGAGACATATTGCTTTAAACTGTACAGAACTTCCAAAGAAAAATGATGATGATCAGGATAAGAACAAGAAAGAGAATGCCCGAGTTTTTGTACTGAATCAGCATGAGACGAAGTAGGATCCGAATGTGATCGCAGGTATTTTAGTTGAAGTACATATTTATGTTTTTCGATTTTGCATTCTCTGTTTCTAAGTCTAACAATATAGTTACGAAAACAGGTGTTCTATTATTTTCTAATATACCTGCTTACGTACTTTTTGATTTGGGGGCTACAAATTCTTTTATCACTACATCCTTCGTCGCTAGGTCTAACTTTGCACGTGTGAAAACGAATAATGAATTACAGGTTAGCATCCCTTCAGGAAAAACTCTTTGGACAAATCAAATTACTAAGGCGATAAAGCTAGAGATTGACGAAAATGTACTACTGGCAGACTTATATCTTTTAGAGATGAAAGATTTCGAAGTTAATCTAGGCATGGACTAGTTGGGACTCAATCATACGACCATTCGATGTCACAATAAAAAGGTATTGTTTCACAAATCGGGATAAGAAGAGTTCCCTTTTTTTGGAACAAGATTCAAGTCTTTACCTCACATTGTATCGGCTTTGTAAGTGGAGAATATGCTGAAAAAGGAGTCATACCAGGGATTCTTAGTTAATATCATCGATTCCACACATCCAGAAACAACTGTTAATGTTATTAACATTGTGCGAGACTTTGCTCACGTATTCCAAGAAGATTTACCAGGTATTCCACAAGATAGGCAAGTGGAATTTACAATTGACTTGGTTCCCGGCGCGACAGCAATTTCTCAGGCCACATACAGAATGACACCAAAAGAACTTCAAGAATTGAAGTTATAGTTGGAGGAGTTGTTGGAAAAAGGTTTCATTCGACCGAGTGTATCTCTTTGGGGTGCTCCAGTACTTTTTGTGAAGAAAAAATGTAGAGTATGATGATGTGCATTAACTATCGAGAGTTGAACCATTTGACTATCAAAAATAGATACCCACTTCCAAGAATAGAAGATTTATTCGACTAGTTAAAGGGTGCAATGATGTTTTCAAAGATTGACTTGAGGTCAGGATATCATCTGCTGAATGTTAAGGCAAGCGACATACCGAAAACTGCCTTCAGGACTCGTTACGGACATTATGAATTCACTATCATGCCCTTTGGTTAGACCAATGATTCAGCTGTATTTATGGATCTAATGAATTAGGTGTTCCATCAATACTTAGACCAGTTCATCATAATATTTATTGACATACTTGTGTACTCTAAAGATAAGAAGCAACATGAGGAATAACTCCGGGTAGTACTCGAAACTTTGAGGAAAGAGAAATTACATGCCAAATTGAAGAAATTCCTTAGTCATTTAGTTACTGTCCAAGGAATTGAGGTAGACCCAGTTAAAGTGAAAGCAATAACTAATTGACCTAGACCGACCAATGTAGGTAAAGTTTGCAGTTTCTTAGGGTTGGCTGGATATTACCGGAGATTTTTTTTTTTTTAAGCAATTTTTTATTTTTTTTCGTAAGGATTTTTATTTAAAAATTTAATACATGTTTTATTGGATTATAAATTTAAAACAGTGTTATACTTTATAAGTGGAATTAACATTTTATTATTTATCTAATAAATTCGATATGCATGTTTTTTTATATTTATTTGGTTTTGAGTTTTTATCAATTAAATTGTACCCGTTAATTTCATATATTTACACCGTTAAAGTTAATAGTTTTGGTAGGAATTTAAAAATTAAATTTTGGGTCGTTACAAGAGTGGTTGAAACAATGGTGAATGAATTTATTTTTTCTCCTACAGCTTTGCTTACTCCAAGTTTCTCTCTGTATCTGTATGAAGAATGAAGAGAATAAAGTAATATGTGCATAAAGAATTAAATGAATTCACAGACTAGCAATTGATCTCAACCTCTGCTAAAACCTTGAGGGGATAAAATTTTCATGCATTTTCTGCAAAAAAATTTGAATATATAATCACGAAAACGTCTCGAGTACTATTTCGGATCAACGGCTGATATTGGGTTGGGATCATAATGGATGGACTTGTATGCATGCCCGAGTTTCGTTGTAATGTTATAGTCTTTAAGAATGTCTATGATACTGGAAAAAAATCACGACATCATAGTACTCTCCGTTTTGTTCTCCTACTAGTTTGTAATCATTCATTCTTTCGACTCTTTCTAGTCTTGCAGGCATGTTGATTCCCAATCTTACACTAGCCCACTTGTAAACAAGAACTTAGTCTTCATGTAATGTTGGAACAATGCAGGTACTTCACGTAGAAAATATTTGAAACTGTTGGAGAAGAGAGATATTTGGTGATTTGAAGAATATTTGCTAATATTGAAGAAAATATTATGGCATGATTTGGAGAATATTGGTTAATGATAATTAGAATGTTTTCATAATTTGTTATATTCTTTTCGTGATTATCTCATCTTTAATAAGGCAACCTTATTATAATATAACTATATATATGTGTCATTGTAACACTTAGGATATAAGTGAATATAGTTTTCTCTCTTCTCCCGTGGATGTAGGTTTGCCACACTGGCACCGAACCACGTAATTTTTTGTGTTCTTTCTTATATATTGAATTCTCCATGGTATTAGAGTGGATGTATTGATCCGTCCAACAGTTCGAAAAAAAAGGAAAGAAGAAACAAATTTTTTTCTCTTCAAATTTTTTTCAGTTTTGCACGACCTCCACGAAAACGACTGTATCTTTCAAACCGTAACTTGGAATTGCACAAGGTCGGTGCTGTTGGATTCATATTGTTTGTATCTAGCTTGAAAATTTACAATGACTGAGAAAGCCAGTAATCTATCTATAGTGATGGAGAATGATGTAAATCCTAGATATTGTTCTCTTGAATGGTATAAATTACATACCGTGGTTCAGAGTTTCTTTGCAGTCGTGACATTATCCCTTGGTGGAAAAAAAAGTTGAGTTTTATCAATAGCAGTTCTACTTGTCCAGATTCTGTAGATTCAAAGTACGAAGGGTGGATTTCGAATGATCAACTCGTTAGGTCTCAGCTTCTAAATTCAATGGAAGGACATATTTCTGAAATCTTTGCCTTTTCAAATTCGGCAGAAGAATTGTGGAATTCAGTTGAAGAGCTTTACAGAAATCAAAACAATGCTGCTAGAATCTTTGAGTTGAAACAGGAAATTGAAGCTACTGAGCAAGGGGATAAGACATTCATTGAGCATCTTGGTTATCTTAAGAAAAATTGGGACGAATTGAGCCTGTATCGCCCGCATACAACCGATGCAAAAATCTTGTTGAAAAGGCCGAAGAAGATAAGATATTTTCTTTATTGAGTAGTTTGAAGCCAGAGTATGAGAATCTTAAGAGTCATATCCTTATGAATTCTACTCTGCCAACCTTCTCTAGTGTGTGTGCAACGAGAAGAAACTCGAAAAAAGACTATGAATCTTGAACCGAAGCATATATCTGAGTCGATTGCTCTTATTGTAAAAAGAGATGAGAAAAGGAAAAGCTTTCAAAACAAGGGAAGATAGGAAGCTCCAAAATGTGATCATTATCACATGCTAGGATTATCTAAGAACCGTTGTTGGGACCTTCATCCTGATCTTAATCCATCCACTATGAAAGGAGGAAACATGGAAGTTGCTGCTATTGCTGACACTACCATCTCACTGAATCAATTGACTTATGGGGTTGATTACAATGACACATTTGCTCCTGTAGCCAAGATGAACACGTTTCGTGTTCTTTTATCTCTAATCGTCAATCAAGATTGGAAATTATCTCAGATGGAAGTGAAGAATGCTTTTTTACATGGTGATCTTGATGAAAAAGTTTATATGAGTATACCTCCGGGTCATCGGCTGGAGGGTGAAGTGATCTAACATGCAAATTAAGAAAATCCATATATGGTCTTAAACAATCACCTCGTGCATGGTATGCCAAACTCAGTCATGTTCTTGTCAAGAATGGTTTAAAGATGAGTAATGCTGATTCTTCCTTGTTCGTGAAAAGAGGTATGAAAGGTACAGTTATTATTTTGATCTATGTTGATGACATCGTTATTACTGGTGATGATCTTGCTGAAATAACAAGGATCAAAAATATTCTTCAAACACAGTTTTCTATTAAGGATTTGTGGATTTTGAAGTATTTTCTCGAATTAGAAATTGCGTATTCAAAAAAGGGCATATTTCAAAACCAAAGAAAATGCGTATTGGATTTGTTAAAAGATACTAAAAAATTAGGTGCTAAGCCAGCTTAGACGCCTATAGAGTGTAATTCCAAATTAACACTTGATGGCGATCTATTATCTGATGTTGGTCAATTCCAAAGATTGGTCGGTAGACTAATTTACCCCACAATTACTCAACCTGATATCTCTTATGTTGTCAGCCTTGTTAGCCGCTTTTTGCATTCTCCACAAGTTGCACATATGGATGCCGTTAATCGGATTTTGTTCTATCTTAAGGGGTCACCTGGAAGAGGTACATGGATGCATAAAAATGGTCATTCTCTTATTTCTGCTTGTACAGACGCATATTGGGCTGGTAGTGCCGTTGATAGAAATTTACCATGGATATTGCATTTTTATTGGCGGAAATTTGGTGACATGGAGGGGTAAGAAACAGAACGTTGTTGCACGCTCTAGTGCTGAAGTCGAATATAGGGCAATGGCTTCTACTGCCAGTGAAATTATTTGGCTCCACTCCTTGCTGAAGGATTTGGAATTTGGTTTGTCACAACCTCCCGATGTTTTGTGATAATCAATCTGCTATACATATTGCTTCCAATCCAGTTTTTCACGAGAGGACAAAACACATTGAAGTTGACTGTCATTTTATATGAAAACAAGTCCAAGCCAATGTTATTTGCACTCCCTTCATTCGTAGTAGCGAGCAATTGGCTTATATTTTCAACGAATGCTTATCAGCTGTCAAATTTCATGAGATATTGTCCAAGTTGGGCTCTATCGATATTTTCACACCAACTTGAAAGGGAGTGTTGGAGAAGAGAAATATTTGGTGAATTGGATAATATTTGCTAATATTGAAGAAAATATTATGGAATGATTTGGAGAATATTGGTTGATAATAATTGGAATGTTTTCATAATTTGTTATATTCTTTCCATGATTGTCTCATTTTTAATAAGACAACCTTGTTGTAATATAACTATATGTATGTGTCATTGTAATACTTCGGATATAAGTGAATATAGTTTTCTCTCTTCTCCGTGGATGTAGGCTTGTCACACTGGCGCCGAACCACGTAATTTTTTGTGTTCTTTCTTATATATTGAATTCTTTTTATACGAGAACAAGTCCAAGCCAAGGTTATTTGCACTCCATTCATTTGTAGCGAGCAACTGCCTGATATTTTCACCAAATGCTTATCAATTGTCAAATTTCATGAGATATTGTCCAAGTTGGACTCTATCGATATTTTTGCACCAAGTTGAGGGGGGAGTGTTGGAGAAGAGAGATATTTGGTGATTTGAAGAGTATTTGCTAATGTTGAAGAAAATATTATGGCATGATTTGGAGAATATTGAATGATGATAATTGGAATGTTTCCATAATTTGTTATATTCTTTCTCTGATTGTCTCATCTTTAATAAGGTAACCTTGTTGTAATATGACTATATATGTGTCATTGTAACACTTCGCATATAAGTGAATATAATTTTTTCTCTTCTCTTGTGGATGTAGGTTTGCCACACTGGAGCCGAACCACATAATTCTTTGTGTTCTTTCTTATATATTGAATTCTTCAGAAACATTACCATTTCTATATACTAAACAGGAACAGAAAGTATTAAGAAAAAGAAGCTTAATTAGTGCTTGCCAGTTGCCAAAGATGTTGCAAATGGCTTACCCTGCAGGATCTAGTAGCAATTGATCCACATCTGCTCAGGAAAGACGTAGAACTTATTCAATTTATGAGCTACCATTATCTGCACTGAAGATGCAATTATAGTTTTTGAATTATGATGATCATAATCCGTCAAGACTAAGATGTTTATACAAGTAATTGAAGTACAAATTTCATCCGAACTAGCTTACCGTTCATATTTATACCAACTTGGAAATTTCCAGCAACTACTGAAGACTAAAGGAGTGTCTAAAAAGCTTTGTTTATTGCGAAAAAAAGGTAGTTACCAACAGGTGTCTGAGCCTCGGAGGGAGTATGTTCATCATTTATTGATTCTCTAAAGTTAAGACCAACCAGCATACTATAATCTATGATCCTCTCCTGTTCAAGAAAATCATAGGCCCTATCACCTTGCCTGCAGAAATTGACAAGTGTCATCAATTTTATAACACTGAAGTGGAATCTGAAAATGCTAGAAAATGGTAATGGAAACTGAATTTTACCATTAAAATTCTTGAAACCGTGTCTTTTGAAGTCGAAAAAGGAAGTTGAGAACGAGATCCTTGAGAGTTGTTGCATCAATCTCTGATTCAGGCTTATTAGTCAATCGGCCAAAAGTGGATCCTTTCAAGTCATATCGTCTATGGATCATGTAATTGGAACAGAAGAGGTTCACCACGATGATGAAATGAACCTAATTCATCTATCACTTTAATTTTGTACTGACAGTCATGTTACAAAATGAACCTAAATCACTGATCACTTTAATCTTGAACTGACAGTTATGTTACAAGAAAATCTTATTTCTACCCATACCTTCTTAAGCATGTCCATTTAACTCAACAAATTCACTCCATAGTATTTTGTCACGAGAGTGTTCTCAAAAGCACGAACATGGTTATAGACGCAGTTACCATCCTTAAAAGCACTAAACCATGAAATGGAAGAGAAGAATGATATATTTCAGTACTCGTACATATATTTGGCTATTGGGAGTCGAATCTCACTTTTACTTCAGCCTTCTTCAATCTTCTTTATCATACAATTGTCATCGTTAGCTAAGTAAAAGAAGCTTCCATTTTTTCCAGGAGAGGAAAGTTCTTGTAATACATCGCTCCCACATATGGATAACATGTAATCTACTTAATCCACCTTGAACAACATTCTTAAAGACCCGAAAAATATCATGATTGATAAATTGAAAGGAGTTTTATTGTGATTTTGAAATTTAGAAATACAATAACTTTTCAAATCCATACAGAAATCTAATTTCATGTTAAGTTATAGTAAAAAACAAGAATGACAAAGAAACATGTATCAAAAATTCACGAGATTGTGCCTGAATACTTTAGGGCAAGAATCTTTCCATCCGAATTCACAGGATTGGTGTGGCGGATAATTTTGGATCCATCAGAGGGAAGTTTTGTTCAATACTTTTGGTCGAAAGCTGAAGGCTTCAGATGATGGACATGAACTAGGTTTTCCAACTGAATGCCTACATATTTTAAGGCCATTTTAGTGATGAGAATTAGGGTCGAGATAGAAGTACTAATACAATATAGAACAATTCATGCAGACTATCGTAACATCTATGTTAGGCTCTCATGTACACTTCACACAGAAGGCTTTTCTTGTGATTTTATACACATGTCAACTATAAAATTGTCTTGTACGGGAGAGGTTGGCCAATAGCTTAAACCCATTGCGCAAAGGCTTTCCATGAGCCATGTGTGATCAGAATTAGCGGTGACAGCTATGGAAATAATCGATATTGACTGTATGCAAGAAATACATAAACTGAGTTTAGATTTCTTAATTGCACACTACTCATAAATTGAATGCAAATGAATGTCAAAACTTATCAGGTCAATTAATCATTCATGTGGCTGTGTTTGATACACATTGTAGAGAAAAGAATGCATTTTGAAGTGATGTGATGGAAAATATGTTGTTAAAAAACAAGAAAATTTTTTGGATTTGCATGTAATATTATTTTATTGATGAATATGTGGTTGAAAATGAGTAGAGGAAGAATGCATTTTTCAAAAATGTGGATCAAATAGAGGCATAATATCTATACGAATGGCCTCAAAATTTTGGTCAATATGCTATTTTAGAAAATTTGGCAAAACATCGATCTCTTAAAAATTAAGATATAGTAAAATATTGAAGCTAAAACTGGAGAACAATTATAAAAATGAAACACAAGACACGTATTATTACATAATTCCCAGCTACAAATTGAGCATAAGATCATAATTCCTATGTTGTATACATATTGTCTCCCCTTGTCTTTTTACCACTCTAGGTATCCTAAGAGGGTTGCCTCGAGTACTTAAACCGTTAGGCTGTAAGCCTACTAACACATCGTTACTTTCATTTTCCGTCATTCTGATCCGTTCTATGGCACTAGCACTATTTGAAGAGGGAACAGCACCATCCGATAAACGCATTCTACCAAACTCCCTATCTATCCCTGCATCTATTCTACCATCAACCAACATTCTTCTTGGCCTTACACTTGAATCCGAGCCATTGGATAACCTCCAAACTACAAGCTTCTTTTGAGATGGCTATACAAGAATCTTCTCATTAGGATAAATTATGCAATCCTTCAAATCAGTACTAAAACCCTCTTCTGGACTCCATTCAAGATTTTCTTCTAATTAGGATCCAGAAGGATACCACACATTTTCCAAAAAATACTATTCAAAACATAGTTTTTTACAATTAAAGGCTACCAAACAAGGGGCTATATGTTCCATTCCCTTTTCGAACGTCTTCCCAATTCCCATCATAATATTCCCATTAGTCAAACACATATTCCCTTTCCTACAATCTTTCCATTTTTCCATTGCCTAGTGTAACAATTCCCATTCTTCAATTGATACTTCGCATGTCCTTCTTGCAACTCACGACTCCGTTCACCATCATAACTATAACGATGTCACCGTTAGCATATTCTTTAATACCATGGCCATGTTTTAAATTTATCACCCAAGAACCCTATATGTATCTCCATTAGGCCCCCTTTACGAACCTTCATTATCCATGAATCCACTTGAAATTGCCTTCGTACGACGCCCCAGAAGACCAAATAAACGTATTTTTTTCCTATAGTTTTGCCTCTAGAACATTGTCCTACATACATACATCCATGTTGGGAGGAGTTCACAAATTAGCTCACAAAATTAACTAAAGAATATACAAAACAAAAATCAAAACATGTAAATAAGCAAAGAAAAAATCAAGTAAACTCATCTTTATTATTCGAAGCACTCAAGCCAAGAATCCAGTACACCTTGCTTTCATTACTGAAGAACAACCACTAATCTAGAGCAAATCACAACCAAAGTAAGATTACAAGAAGTGGACACTCAAACTAGACCTATGAATCACAAGCATGAAATTCGTCTGAATACATAGCACACGGTTCACACAAGAACCATCCCTCAAACAATGAAATCACACAAGATTTACAAACTATTGAGAGAAAATCAGAAATCAAATGAGCATTTTTGATTTCTCCAGTGAAGAAGGGATATCGAGGAAACGGCACAGAGAACACGGGAGAAAATGGAAGAATCTAGAGACCAGAAAAGTGAGTCTCTCAAACCCTAAACGCCCTTTTAAATGAGCCACTCAACAGTCACCAATCCAATGGCGTTGGAGGCCACACGTGGTGACATCAGAGGCGTCCAAAAAACGGGTAAGTAAGAAACACAACTTTAAGCCAACCAACAAACACATTTCTTATTAAACCAACAGAGAAATGAGATGGGTCTTCAATTCCAGCTGGGCCAACATTTTCATCCCAATGGTCTTTTTTTTCATCATTGTGCCACAAATTCCCTTCAATCCATCCATCCGTCCACCAATATTTTCCTTGTACATGTGGAAAATTATCAGCCCAATTGCCACTGTAGTAATCATCATTGGGAAGAAATCTCTCTGCATGATACACTTCTCCACTAGCATGCACTTCTTCTTGATCTTCATTTTCTTCTTCAACATTTCCTACTAAATACGCGCCCCTAAAAATCATGGTGGCCCATTTCCTGGCTGCAACCTGTGTTATACGTATTGTGGCCTCTCACGCCTTCATGAGTAGACAATTCTCTCTCTTTTTCACAAATTTATCATTTTTTAGCCTTCTCTTACGCAATATACATTACATTTCTGCATTGATTTTAAACTTTTCATCGCGCAAGAAAAACTAGATCATGAATGTTTCTGTCATGAAAATCTCAAACACTGATCAGCCATTAATAAAACAAGTCTAAGGTTGGAAAACAATATAAAAACATTCTTGGTTTCCATCACCTCCCTAAAGGAAGCAAACTAAGCCAAACAAAAGAACTTAAACCCAAAAAAAAAAAACAATTTTTCAAACTAAACCACTTAAAGTCGTTTGAAATTTTTCCAAACAAAACCAAATAACTTTAATTTCTAAATTAAACCAATCCAAACCACTTTTTTTCGGTTTGGTTCGATATAAAACCACAGTTTAACAAAGAAAAGAATTATTATATAAGTCCAATCATAACTATTAGTCTAAAATTTCAAGTTAAAATATAAATGATACATATTAAAAGTATTACAAATCAAAGTTTTATAATTCATTAATTGTAGTCATTATGATGCGACAACTTGCTAGCCTCTTAGTCGATACTAATTAGCGCAATATCTACAGTTGTAATATATGCTTCATTCTCTTTATAAAGATAAGAATATAGTATATGAATTCATTAATTATAGTTAAATTATATAAAATAATTAATAAAAGAAAATGAATAGAAATATTGAATACGATAATAACTTATAACTTTTTGTGAATCATCCAATACTTCTACCTCATCCAAATATTGATGAATCACTATAGATTCCTTGTTAGTATGCAACCAATTTTTAGGGCAAACCATAACCTCAACTATAGTTGCACTCCACGAACTTTTAAAGGAATTAAGAATCAAACAATTAGTATGGAATGCAAACCCAAAAATAATTGTAAATATTAAATAGCTAACACGACTTTAGCGATTTGAGGGACAATCTTGTATTTATTTGCATTCATTTTCCACCAAAGTAATATGTCGAAATGTTCATTGATCAAATCTTCAAAATGATCATTTAAGCATTTATCGACCTAATCATTCTAGTAATTAACTAGTAAAATCTAAAAACTAAGTTAAAATGTAAACAATTAATTGAGTAACCAGACTAGGAAATTGAGACGCAAATTAAAAAAGATGTTGTTAACTAAAAATTTAAGGGAACCTCGCACAAATTAGAACAAAATAACACAACTATTAATAAAATATAGTAAACAATTACCCCAAAAAATGGGTAAACCGCGGTTTGACGATTTGTTTGTTCAACCTTATGTAACTGTCAAAGTGAGACAGAGAGAGTTTAACTATACTATGTTTAGACCGTGATTGGTTTTGGACAGCAAGAAACATAAAATGTAAGGGAGACTATTTCATCAACCGCAAACCATTTTCAGGCCATCCCACATTTGGCGAGATAACCTGATCGAGGGCTATCCATTCGCTATTTAGATACATTTCCCAGTTGTTTAGCGTTTTATATGTTGGACTGTGTGAAGCATAATCTGTTTGTTTATCCTTCGACTCAGTCTGCAAATGCAAATGAGTTTTTTAGGTGTATTTTGGTTCATTGCATTAGATCAACTTAATGTTCATACCACACATAAAAGGATTGTGAAGGGCCGATATGTGTTTCACTGGCTAAGGGCGTGAGATCCTAATTGTAATCTTCTACTGTAAATTCTTTACAGTGAAAATCTATAGCACTAACTGAGTAACTGGACGTAACTCTCATCGAGAGTAAATAATTGTAAATCTCTATATTTGTTCTAAGTGTGTGTTTCTATTTATTACTGCTCTAAAAGGAAGGGATTAGGTTTTAATGTGTAACTAGAGAGGGTGGAATATTTTATTACTGGAATGGGGATGCACGTATAGGGGCAACATTCATATTTTGGCAAATTAGGCATAGTTTTAAACGTTGGGTACACTATTGGAATGCCAAGATCCAATTTTAGTCCCTTATGTTCTAATGTTGGATTGAAGAAAGTAATTTATTAACATTATGCTACTTTCCAAGAGAAGGGAAGAATATAGTGTCATGGTTCTGCATCTTGAATACCCCCAAACTTAAGCACGTCGGAAGAATAGGCTTTCTTTGTGTGGTTTATATAAGTTTGAGCTCTCCTACTTCAACGATTAGCTTTTGAGGTATTGCTCTCCCAAGTTCCATGACATACAGGTTTTTGCATGATCTTCGATAACATAATAGGATGGTTGACAAAAGACACAATGGAGAGCTATGTGATGTGAGGTTGAAAGCTTTAAGCTGATATTAAGTACATGCATTTTTTTCTTCATCTTTCTTTACAATTTGGAGAATGGATGACTGAGTTCTATATTAGCTTGATGTAATGATCTAGATATTTAGTGGATGCTTGTGATTGTTTATTTCTACAAGCAGGGAGACAATTGACTCGTACGCAATTGCCGCATCACCAAAATTTGGAACCTTATATTCACCTTTTGAAGTAAATAGTAGTAGTTACTCGCACTCTGATCCGACGAAATCTTTGCTCCCCAAAAAGGCAACAGCAGAGAAGAAAGATGATGCGGGTGCAATTTTTACAGCATGGTTATCCTCATCGCAGAAAGCTCTACTGCATAAGGGAATTTACAGTGAGTCGGCCATGGATGTCGCTTAAGTCGGACAATATTCAACGTGAGGTCACTTTATTTTAAAATCTTCAAATTATATTATAGTCCTGATAAGACGAAAATATTCCAAGTTTCTAGAATCTACAGAAATAGCACAAGGTTTTCCAAGAGAGTTAATCTCTCTCCATATTCCGAAGAATCTGTACATGTTTCCACTTGATTCAACTTATTATGCGGTTCTAGTACATAAGTAAATGTGATGACTGGGGTTGGTCTTCTTTCTACACCGTACACTGTTAAAGAAGCTGGCTGGGCTAGTGTGGCAGTGCTTGTCCTTTTTGCAGTTATCTGTTGTTATACGGCCACTCTTATGATGTACTTCTTCGAGAGCCGGGAATGCATCATAACTTATCTAGATATTGGAGAAGCAACATTTGGAAGATTTGGACGACTTTTCATATCTGTAAGTCGGCATATTACTTCTTACTGAATATGTTTCTATTCTTTGAAAGCCTTGATCAATTGATGCCGAGCTATATTGTATTTTGCTCGCAGATCATTCTATACGCAGAAGTATATGTAAGTGAAACAAGATTTTCGAGTTTAGTTTTACGAATTTAGTTGTCAAAACGTATTCCTCAATTTGTTTCCCATCAATACAGTACTATTGTGTGGAGTTTATCATTTTGGAAGGGGATAATCTCACCAGGCTATTTCCCGGAGCAAATGTGGACTGGGGTAGTCTCAAGCTGGATTCGGCCCACTTCATTGGAATACTCACTTGCCTTATTGTTTTGCCAACTGTTTGGTTGAGGGATCTCCGAGTCATATCGTATCTTTCACGTGCCAAACTTTGATCATTTAAAAATTAATTGATTTTATTAGCATCTTATCTTGTTCTTATTTTGTTTGTGCTCATTTTGCAGTTTGCGGTGTTCTTGCAACTATAGTTATTGTCTTCTGCTTAGTTTTACTTTGTACCGTCGATAGAGTCGACTTGCATCACACGAGTCAATTGGTGAACTGAAGTGGTATTCCGTTTGCTGTTGGTGTAAGTGTTATGCCCTAGGTCCGATCAACTTTGGACATAAATACTTTGAATATATATATATAATCAATGCATATGTATGGCAATATCTATTATTTAATTGAATTAATATTCTAATAAATTAAATAATAGAATCCGTAGATTCAAGTCTTGGTGATTTGTTAATCACAAGGAGTTGTGATTGTGAGATACAAATTACATATGACT